CACAGCTCTTTAAGTTGGCAGTTCCTCCAGTGGCCTCTGGTTGGTTTTGTTTGGCAGTCTGGACCCGGTTGACTGGAGTGCAGAGTGATTTCTCCCTTGACCTGACTCACAGCTAGCTGATCCTCCCCCACTCCCTGAAGTCTTCTCTATTAAAGAATGTGATGAGGAAACTCAGGGAGACTGAGACTGTGTGATGCTGAGGGAGGTTGTGCACATTGGTGACAACATGGCAGCACAGAGGCCAGTGGGGATTGTGTGTGACTGTGCTGGTGACTGTACAGAACTGTTAGTCAAGGTTGAGGAGACCTGGCACACTCAAACTGGGAGTTTTTTAAAGGGGACTACTTTTAAAAGTGTGGGCTGTTAGTTAGGCATTGTGGAGGGCACCTGTAGTCCCAGCTACTTGGGAGGCTGAGGCAAGAGAATCGCTTGAACCCAAGAGTTTGAGGTGGCTGTGATGCCACTGCACTCTACCCAGGGCAACATAGTGAGACTCTGTTTAAAAAAAAAGTGTGGACTGATACGGTACAACTCTCTAGGGCTGGCAACAGTGGGAAGACTTTACAAGTCGTGGGCCTAAGGGGTCAGGATAGGCAGTTTGTGGTGAGAGGGCCCTTGACAGGTACAGTGGCCTTTGGGTGAAGTATGTGGCCAACCATGACAGCCTGGAGGGGAGAGAACAAAGGGAATAAACACCACCTCTCCTCCCTTCAGTCACCAATTGGGGCCTTTCACTGGCAAACCCAACAGGAGGAAGCCATGGAACAAGGGAGCCATTGATGCAGAGTCCCAAGATGTCAGCCTTGCCAGGGCCCAGAACAGAGAGAAGGGAGAGAGTGGATTGGAGGGGCCAGCATATCAGGCAACTCCCTGGGGGTGTGTCTTTTTCCCCAGAGTCCACAGCAATGCTGCATTCCCCTAGAGAGCTCCCTCCACCCACCACAGCAGAAGAGATGGGTTGCTTGGAGAGCACCATGAGGTTGGAAGGTAGAGGACAGAGTTTTCCTCCCAGCCTTCCTCTTGCTGGTTCTGATTCCTAGTTTCTGATTTCTGCCTCTCCTGGTGACTTAGATGGCTGCAGGAATTGTCCATAAGAGGCAAAATGTCAGCCACTGAGTCAGTGTTTTTCTCACCCCTGGAAACACTGTACCACTCCCACACTGAGGCGTGCTCTTGCTACCATGGGCTCACCACAAGCCATGGCTCATGTCACATGCACATCAAGAAAATGTACATCTTGACACACTGCTACACTATGCTGTAGTCATACATAGAATGACACATGTCACAGAAATTCAAACATGCCCTGTTGTCACATGTGTACAAGAGACATACTGTCAAAATCCTGTGAAATCAATGTAGGGGCAGAACGGTTCAGAGGCCAACAACAAATGGTTCTGGGATCATACAAGTCTCTTTGACCTCTCTGGCCTATTTCTGTGTCTGTAAGATGGAAATAACATTTCTCTCTCATGGAGTTTTTGTAAGGATGAAATGAGAGATCTTGATCGGGAGGACCTTGGCATAGTGGCTGGTCTGATGTTAAGTGTGCCAGGAATGGTGGCTGTTACGATGTGCTGCGGTCTCACATACCTACTTCCTCATGCCTGTGCGTGCGTACTGGCAGCAGCAAACACATTCACCCACACACAAGGCCAGCCGGGCCCCCTCAGGTGCACATGCCAGAGCACGTGTACATTCAGAGGCAAATTGCCTGGGCCTGGCAGGCTCCTTCCCTAGATGTCTGCATGGTTCACTTCCCTAAGGCTTTGTTCAAGCAAATGTCACCTTTCAGTGAGGTGCACTCTGATTTCTCTTTCAATGTGCAAAGCCCAGCACTTCTAATCTCTTACCCTGCTGTATATATTTGTACACGTCACTGACCTTCTAAGACCATATCTTTTTTTTTTTTTTTTTTTGTCTACCTCACCAGAATGTAATCTTTACAAGGAAAGGGATCAGCTGACTTCTGTTTGTTGATGTATTTCCAACCCCAGAATAGTGGCAGGCCCATGGTGGGCTTTTGCAGTGTATGTACACACATGCCACATGGGTTTCTGGCTTTTTCACCCCCCCAAACAAGCATTTCCAGGTGAACCCACTCCCCAGTCCAGTAGGTAAGCCTGTGTGTTGATGCTGTTGAGAATGCCCTCATGCCAAGGCTTGGATGGTCAGCTCAGGTTGTGGGACAGACTTAGTCCTTCTCAGGACCTAGTTGGGTGGGCACAGCTGGGTGGGGGTGGGAGGCTGTTTTCAGTCGCCAGGCAAAGGTGGTCTTTCCACCAGCCCTTCTAGCCATTGTGAGCTCAGCACCAGAAGGGGCTGGAGCACCCAGCAGGGACCCACAAAGCAGATGAAGTGACTGGATTCACCCTGGTGACCTAGGGCCTCCTCTACAGCCTTATTTTTTCCACCCTGCCTGGAACCATCAAAGTCACCACTTCAGAGGACCCTAATGAGTCTGAATCTGTTAAGGGCTTTACAGTCTTCGGATCAAAGAGACTGGGTAAACAGTGGGCAGCGTCCAGGCCATGACTGGCTGATGTCCTGAGGCAACAGCTCTTTAGGAGCTCTGCAGCTGACACTCCCAGATAGCCTGGCATGGCCCCAACCAGGTTTGAGGAGACCTTGCCCCTCCGGGAGATCTGCTTAGAGCAATGGTTCTCAACCTTCCTAATGCCGTGACCCTTTTATAGTTCCTCATGTTGTGGTGACCCCAAACCATAAAATTATTTTCATTGCTATTTCATAACTAATTTTGCTACTGTTATGAATTGTAATGTAAATATCTGATATGCAGGATGGTGTTAGGCGACCCCTATGAAAGGGTCATTCAGTGAGAACTGCTGGCTTAGAGCAAGCCAGGGAACATCTGTCACTTGGGGGCAAGGGATGGACCCACTGCCAGGTAGAAAGATCCTACCTGGGGCCGGTGCCTGTGGCTGAAAAGGGTAGGGCGCTGGCCCCATATGCCAGAGGTGGCGGGTTCAATCCCAGCCCCAGCCAAAAAATAATAATAAAATAGACAATAAAATAAAAAACAATAATAAAATTAAAAAAAAAAAGGTCCTACCTGGGCTCAGGCTCTGGGGGACCCTAGAAGTCTCCAGGTCTCAGCTATCATTACTAGAGAGGCCTCTGGTCCAGATTCACCCAGTTTGTTCTCCAGCTACCCCCTAGACAGAGATGGGGTGGGCAGAGCAAGGGTCAAGGAGCCCTGAGTAGTCCAGACCTAATAGGACTACAGGTAGAAGACGCTAGAACATTTACTCTTTGACAAGAGTCTTAGACCTGCTGAGGTAACATGCAGGTACAGGTCACACATGTAGACATAAGCCCCAGTTGTCAGGTGGGGCTAAGTGTTGAGGGAAGGAGGGCCAGTCCCCCACCTCCACAAATGTCTCCTCCTACAAAACAAGCCACATACCCAGACTGGGGGAGGCAACTGCAGCTTCCACAGCCATGGAAGGTCTTTCTGGGAGAAAGCATGGTGCCAGGCAGGTGCCAGTGTAGACCATCTTTATTGGCAGGTGTTAAGAGTGCAAAATAGCAACACATCCAGAGGGATAGAGAAGGAGGTGGGGGATGCCTCCCTTCCCCTATGTGAGAGCCTGTAACCAGCCCAGTAGGGTGGGAGCACTTGACTTTATTGTGGCAAATTTGGGCCCAGAACCCTCCAAACTCCCAGAAAGAAGGCTCTCTACAATATAAGGAAGGGAGCAACACACTGGAAGGGGCCTGGGCTTGGCTTCTATACATGGCATATCTCAACCCCTTGAGAGGAAGGCTTCACAGCTTGTGATGTGGGTTTCAGGAGACCAGGCTAAACCCATCCTTCCCCAAACCCAAGTATCTGCCTTGTGCCTCTATTCCCTCCTCCCAGTGACTAGCAAGGTTGGACCACCAGGCCCTGTTAGTGGTCCAGCCTGACCCAAAGTGAGTAGTTCCTATAACATACCATATTTTAGCCAGTGTGTAGGCTGTAGGCCCTCAGAGGCTGCTGGGATCACTGTGCGTGGCCCTTGCAGACCATGAAAATCAACCCAAGGTGTTGGGCACTGAAGTTTCCACAATTGAGCCTCAAGATAAATGTCTCTATACCCCATAATCATTCTGGTCCAAAAGTGTGGTGCAACCACCAAAGGATCTCTTGTCAAGAATCCCAGCTTGCCCTTAATGCCACAGGGGCCTCACTCAGGGAAGTCTGGTCTGTTCTACTGAAGGCCCAACTCTGTAGCAGTGCTGGGCCACCTGGCACAGGTTGCCTATCTCTAGTTATGTTCTCCACACACTTCTGGATGTCCCACCCCACCCTGTGAGGCCCAGTCCCCACCCCTCTGGCCAGGGTCTGAGTCAGTTACAAGGTAGCCATGTGGGATAGGAGTGGGCTCGAGCCAGCAAAGGCTGCACAGGGGTCACGTAGTAATTGACAGTGGCTGGCACAACCCGGTCAGAGCCTAGAGGACACCAGGCCAGGGCAGCAGTGGCGGCTGGGCCCTGCTCAGCGAGTGCCTGGAGTGCCATCGTGGCAATGAGGTCCAGGGTCTGGCGGCGCTCGTGGTTCATGAGGCACACAGTGCTCTCGTTGACAACCCGGTGCAGTGTCACCAGGCAGGCATAACGGCGGGCAGTGTCTGCCCCACTGAAGTGGGCCTCCAGGTAGCGCTCCAGGGTACGCTGCTGCTCCACCAGGTCTGGGAAGTCGATGAAGAAGCGGGAACACATGTAGCGCTGCAGGGCACTCACATCAGTGCTGGGCCGTGGCCGGAAGCCCCGCACCAGGAGGTGGCAGTACTTAAGGAGGCCACCACCACGGATCTCCTCAGGGTTGCGTGTGGCAATGACACGGTGCTGCAGGTGCTCCAGGGCCTCAGTGAAGTCCCCATACAAGCTCTCACCTGTCACTGTTGGGTGGAAGGCCTCAGACATGGGCGTGGGTGAGCATTGGCCAAAGAGTAGCAGGGAGTCCAGGATGATCTGGAAGGAATCTACGCTGAACTCAAACTGGCGTCTCACCGAGTCCACAAACTTGAGCTCTACATTCTTGCCGCTCTTGTTAGACAGTGAGATGAGGCTCCAGCGGTCTGTGTCTGTGCACACTTTTACCAGCTTCTGCACATATGCCTCCTTGAGAGTCAGTGGTGTGATCTTGGCTCGGTTCACACCGGCCGGCAGGAAGTCTAACAGGCAGGCCAGCACCACTGCCTTGGTCAGCTGGAAGGACTCCTCGCTGCGCAGGTCCACCTGGAACACCAGGTCCAGGTCCTTGTAGCCCAGGCCGCTCTCAGGATGCAGCACGTGGCTGGCAGCAGAACCGTGAAGCCTCACACTGTGTACCTGTAGTCCCTGTTCTTCCAGGCTGCTGCGGACCACCTGCGGGGGAAGGGCAGGAGGGAGCCATGTCAGGAGCCTGGGGCCTGGAGGTCCACTAAAGACTTGCAGTCATCATAGTAACATCAACCACTGTTGGCCACTAACCAGCTGTTGTGCCTCTGGAAAGTCATCTAACTCTTTAAGCCTTGATTTCCTAATCTGGAGAATGGCCCAACTGGAGCAATGACTCAGAAAGAATAGCACTAATAATAGCAAACTCATGCATAGAATTTTCTAAGCACTAAGTCCTGATCTAAGCATCAGGACATTAAGATATAAACACACTTCATCCTCACAGTAACCCTATTATTCCCACTTTACAGATGGAAGTACACAAGGGCTGAGGAACGAGTCCAAAGGCACCCAGCTGGTGAATGCAGAGGTGGGAATTAAACTCAGAGTCCAAATCTTAACCACTATGCTATTCTCCCTCCTTAAAACTGCAAGTACAATAATTTTGTGCCAGGCCCTGTGCTAACTGCTCAAATGTGTTAGGAATATATTTGGCAATTCACATTCATTACCATAGTAATCCTATGTTATATTATTATTCCAATTGACAGATAGGGGACCTGAGGCACTGAGTGGTTAAGAAACATGCCCAGGGTCAGAGAACAGCCAGGTTGAGACAAGAACCCAGGTTAGATGGATTCTCAAGTCTACACATGTCCTTCTGACTGGGATGCAGTCATCCTAATTCACCCTTACAAGGACTCAATGAGGCAAATAAATAAATATACTCACTTTGCAAATGAGGAAATAACTAAGGCTCAGGGGAGAAGCCATTCACAAGTGGCAAGGCTAGAGGTTAAAAGCCAGACCTTTTGTGCTGTTAGGAGAGGGGATGGGTTGAGATCTGAGGAAGCCACCCATACCAAGTGGGAAGAGATGAAGGACCCCGTCTGAGGGCTACCTGCAGACAGCCCCCAGGTCGGATGGTACAGAAACATGGCAGGTAAACCTACAAGTCTTCTTGAACCTGTTCTTTTAGATAGAGGCATCACCCTGGGCTGAGGCACCAGGTAGGGGAGAAGAGTGAAGCTGAGGGTCAGACATTCAGCTTTCTCAGCAATCCAAAGTTGTCCCCAAAGTGACCAGGCAGCATTCCTGCCCTGAGTGCTTCTGTTACCCCACCTTGCTGCTAAGTCAGCACCCAGGTACAAGCTGGGCTGTCCTCCTTGCCTCCCAGGGAATTACTGCAAAGAATGCACTAAGTGCTGAGGAGGCAAGCGTGGTGGGGCAATTGGAGGTGGATGACTCCCTCTAGGAAGACTTCCGGGAGGAGGACCTGTACCAGGAGAAGATATTGCCATGACAATGGGGGTAAGCAACTGGCCATCAGGAATATAGGGGGATGGGCATGAGGAGTAGGGGACGTTAAGCACCTAATGAGTGGCAGGCACTGGACCTTCTCACCAGAACCTATGAGGGATGGATCTTATGATCTCCATGCTACAAATGGGGAGACTAAGGCTCACAGAAGTTAAGCCACCTGCCCAAGATCATGCAAAGGTGTCTTCAAACCCAGGTATGGTTGACTCAAAGCCTACCCTCTTTCTAGGATTTAGAAGGAGCAGAGACTAGAGACTAATTGCCCTTCCCTTTCAAAATTTCAAAGTGAGGGCAGTCCTCAAATCACTGAAGCCCAGAGCCAGACAGAGTAGCTGGGGAGCAGGAAGGTGAGGATCCAGGGATGCCTTGGCCAGACAGAGAGGGCTAGTTGCCAGAGTCCAGTCTGTAGCATCATCAATCCACTCCCTGTCAGTTGGCAGCTGTGCCTACATGGGCTGAAGATCTGCAGTATAGACCAGCCCCCTCTCTGAGTCCCATTAGAGCTGACTGAGCCTTACTTAGTACCAGCTCCTGCTCCCAGACTGGTGCCCAACCCAGGGCATGGCATCTGGCTTGGTGAGTAGGTAGCAGTACCCTCGTTAAATCCCCTGTGTCAGGGCCATGGGACCAGCTGTGTCAGCCAGCCAGCGGCTGTTGCCTCTTTCCCAGGTGTGACTAGAGCCAGTTTGGCAGGCAGTCCCCAGATACTGCCACACCCAAGGACTGCAGGGCAGCTTGGAGCCTCCTGAATCAGACTTTCTAGCCATGAAGGGGGCAGTGACTGCACCCTCCTTTTTCCTGTATCTCCCCTTCCCCAGTAACAATCTGCTCCAGGCTGTTAACTTGACCTGCAGGGAGACTAATAGGAACTGTCAGCCAGCGCCACCTAATGCAAGCCCTCTGGCTGCAGCTGGAGAGATTAGACAGTTTAGACCAGCGGTTCTCAACCTGTGAGTCTCGACCCACAGGAAATGTATTAAAGGGTCAAGGCATTCAGAAGGTTGAGAACCACTGGTTTAGACAATCCCCTATGCCCAGAGAAGGCAAGGGACTTGTCCAAGGTCACACAGCCAATATATGGGTGAGCTTAATTAGAACCATCCTTCCAAGAGCTTCAGGCTAGGGGATGGGGGTTCCTACAAGAAGTTTGTACCTTTAGCCCAGGTACAAACAAGAACGTCTCCAGCTGCTTGGATTGTTGCTGTAGGCAAAGCCTTGTGGGGGTGGAGAGGGAGAAAGGTTCCAGTTCTTGAGCCATAAGACAACTCAGCACTGTTGAAAAGTCTAAAGGCAACAAACAGCACTGCCCTCCCTCTCCTCCCAGCCCCTCCACAATGGCACTTATTCCAATAGCTTTTGAAGCTGCCAGCTGCAGATTCCCTACAAGACTCTCTTCTCTGTGGAGGCAGCTGTGCAGGCCCAGGTGAAGGCACCTGTTCCTTTGGATTCTGAACCAGAAGGGTGTTGGAGAGCAACCCAATCTATCCCAACTGAACAAATGAGGAAATTAAATCCAGCAAAGGAGATTGACAACAGTCCAGGCCCTGAACCCAGATGTCCAACTACTCAGTCTAGCTCTGAAGTCTCTGCCACCCTTCTCCATCATAGCCATCCTTGTTCTGTGATATCTCTGACCCTGGTCTTAGAAGGACATGGTAGTACCATCACATTGTAAAGATAGCTCTTATTGACCTTAGTCACCCCCACTTGGTTGGGAGTACCTGAAGGCAAGGAGGCTAGGTCCTAGTCACCTCTGTGCCCCTACTATTCTGACAGGGCTTAGCCCAGGGCAGGTACCACTAAAGGCAGTTTGGACCTTTCTGACAGGGACAAGGACTTCTCCTCCACGATAGATACCCCTTGTCCCTGCAGGGGAGCTGCTATACTTGGCCCCACTTTCCCCTCCTCCCATACTTGGGGCCACCATCTTGGAGGTGCAACAGCTGGGACCCCAAGGTTGACCTCACTGTCCTGGGGAGAAAAGCCTCAACTAGTTTCCTAATCACCCAGTTGACAGTGAACAGAGCAGCACAGGAATGCCTCAGTGAGTAGCATTGGGCTGTGGGTGAGTCAGCCCAGGAGAATCTGCCTGCCCCCTCTTCCTTGTTTCTCTGGAGGGAGGGAGAGGTAATCCCCCAGCAAGCACCCTTCCCCCTCCGCTGGAAGCTAAGGTATCAGGAGGCAGGGGAAGGCTCGTTTTCCCAGAAAGAAAATACATCAGTTGGCAGGAATTCACACCATTTTGTCCCTGGAATTAGTGATTTCTTTTATCAGGGGACTCCTCTAAGACCTATCAGTTGAGCTTAGGAGTCAGGGAAAGGGTAAGAAAATCTTGAACCTACAGTAGTAACTTGCTCCTGGGAAGACCCAAGATTCCCTGGGTTTGATTTTCACCTTATTAGGTAATCTTAGGTAGTGTACTATCTCTCTTGAGGCCTCAGCTTCTTCAGCTAGAAAATGTACAATCATTACCATATTATTATTATATTTTTTGGCCGGGGCTGGGTTTGAACCCGCCACCTCCAGCATATGAGGCTGGCACCCTACCATTGGGTGCCACCCAATCATTACCATATTTTAATATTTCAGAAAATGACAGCACCTGAGCTATACAGATGAAAGAACACTTTCGGGATCACTGAGGGTCAGGTAAAGGGAGGAGGTGAAGGCTGAAGGAGGAGGAAGGGGCTGCTAGAATTCTCTTCTGTTTCTTAGGAGAGAGGTGGAGCCTGTGGCCTGGGTTTGCCTTCATTTCCAATCTTGGAGTGGGAGTCCCTGCCAGGATTTCGGGGCTTTTCCTGGTGTGGTGGTGATGGTATATAGGGAGGTTCTTGAGCCAAGGGCTGTGGGAGCACAAGGACAGACTGCCCCTAGAACCTTGAAAGAGGGAAGGTGGGGTGAGATCCAGGGATGCCAAGCTGGGGATGAGTCCAAAAAGTTATTTTGGGCCCAAGGATGCACACCTATCTATCTGGGGCTGCACAGCATCTTTTGTTCTAGCAGACAGGGCTGTTTTTCCCTGGAGGCTTATTCCAATCTCCTCCCCTCTCTCAGCCAGAGCCTGGGTGAGTGGTCCGCAGGGAATCAGGGTTTCCCAGGAAAAGGGAAAGAAAAGCCAAGTGGGGAAGGATTGTTAGATGCAAGGGGAAGAGTTCTGTTGTAACATTAATGTGCTGTGCAATGGTTACAACCCCTGACCCCGTTCCTCAGTTTCCCTAGCTGTCCATCCAGAGACTCATACCTCCAGATTTCCCCCCACATTCCCCGCCCAGCGCCCCGTCACCTGCACAATCTGCTGGGGTTGCACGCTCAGCGTGGGGAAGTTGCCTCGCCCGTGAATGGGAATCGGCTCGCTCAGCAGCGCGTCCAGCCGCTTCACCTGTGGCCAGCTCAGCCCGCTCAGGTGACGTCCGGGGAAGGCCGATGAGGCCTCTGGGTCGGGGCCGCCGCCCGCTGGGGTGGCCCTGGTCACCGCCGAGGCCGTAGCCGTCCCCACCTGCGCAGACGCCGGGCCCAGGCGCTCAGCTCCGCTCTCCGACCGCATCATTCGCCCGACCCCAGAGCCCCGACGGCAGAAACCGGGGGGTAGCTGAGGGTAGGAGGGCAAGAAGAGCGGTTGGGCAAGAGCCAAGGAGGGGGGCGCTGATGCAAGGATCGGACGGCAGCGACGGAGAGGCAAACCCAGGGCACACCACTGAAGACGGCGACTAACCGACCCTAGAGCCTGTAGCCCCGGGCCGGGCAGACTCTTATAGGCCGCGGGCGACATGCCCATTGGTCCAGGCAACTGTCACACAGCAGGAGACGCCCCGCCTCTCAACACCCCTGCCATTGGTCGGCAGAGCTTTGCACGTGAGTCCTTGCTCTCTAGGAAGATTCCAATTGGCTGGAAGGCACACCCCTGCCCCGCCCTCCTTCTCAAGCTGAATTCCCTCCTTTGGCCCTTAAAGAACTTCTGCACGCTGTGATTGGCCTAAGCGGGCCTATACTTAAAGGTGCAGAGCCCTCCAAGGGCAGGTGGGAGGGAAGTGATCTGTGGAATTTGCAGCAGAGTCAGATCACTGAGAAATTCTAGATCTTTTGTTTGTTTGTTTTTATTTATGTGGTTTTGGTTTTGCGCTGGAAGAAATTAAGAAATTACCTGCCCTAGTCTTTATCATCTGTTATTTTCAGAAGCCCAAAGTGATAGCGCAACTGCTCAACTCTGCGCAGCACTCATGCGCTGCCGGTTTCTAGAATCCAGGAAAGGGTAACAAACTGTTTACTGAGGTAGATACTTTCTGATCACTCTCTTGATTGGTCTTTGCAAACCACACCATGACCAGCATTAATGTACCAGTTTAGGAAGGAGAAAATCTTCTCAGAGAGGGGGCGTGATTGTTCCAATGTCACAAAACAAACTAGTCTAGCCTGGTCCAGAACCAGGGCTATAGAATGTGTGGCATATTCTTTCCACTGGGCCCGCGCAGACCCTTTCTGGGGATAGAGGATGGATGATATGTTTACATGTTTTTCTCTCACATTCACAGATCTTAGAGAAGGCAGCCTATTGTTAATTTTAAACTCATTTCTTTTTCTGGTTTTAAATATATATGCTATGGCAAAAGGTCAGAATTGAGTCTGATTTATCACAGCAATATTTTATCTCAAATATAATTCTCCTAACATTCTCCTGTTCTCTCATAAGGCAGGCTGGGAAGGATAATATGCCAATTTACAAAAGAAGAAACCAAGACCTAGAAATGGCCAGCCACATCCCAAGGTCACCAGCTTGACTCTGAGAGACCTGAGGCAAGAAGCCAGGAACCTACTCTCAGACAGAGCAGCCACTTCCTTTTTCTGGAGGCCAGTCCAGGAGGACTTGTCTGTGTCCTCTTCCCCCATCTTGTCTGGGATCAGGGGCTTCCTCTGGACCTCAGGGAAAAGCCCCACTCTTTGGCCATGTGACCTTGGGAAAGTCTCTTCCACTGTCCTCAGTTCAGTTGTTTTGTTTTACCTTCTCTTAAAAGACAAGAAAGAGACTGAGTCCAGAGTCTCCAAATGCTTGACCTATCAAGTCTTCCCAAAGCTGCAGATGAAAGAGCTTGAAGCTCAACCATGGGGCTGTGTCTCATCCTCACCTCCATGCCCTGGCACAGAAAAGGGATAAAAGGAAACTAACATTAACTGAATACTAAGTCACTTTACATACATAACCTCTAATTCCTAAGGATACACCTGAAGATGGGAGATCATTATCCCCAATTTACAGATGAAGAAACTGAGGTTTAGAGAGGTCAAGTGATATGCCTGAGGTCATATAACCACTAATTGGCAGTATGGGACTCAAATCCAGGTCTTCTGACTCCAAACTCCTATATTTCAACCACTTCTCTTAGAAGAGTTGGCACAGGTCAGTTATGCTTGGCACAGCCCTGGCACCACCCACAAGATCCATTCATTCATTCCTTTATCAGCCAACATATATACACTGAGCACCTACTGTGTACCAGGTGCTGGGCTAGGCCTTAAGAAACAATAGGCAAAGTTCCTACCCTTCTAGAACTTTCTAATGTTGAAAGACAATAGCCAAGTAAATGAATAAACTTTGACATTTCTGTTAATGCTAAGAAGTAAATATTACAGGGTTATGGGAGAGAAAACAATGTGTGCAAATGTGAGAGAGATACAGCAAGAGAGGAAGAACTAGAAATATCACTTGGACATTGTTAGACGGTATGATGATGGAAAGCCTCCCTAATGAGCTGTCATTTCTATTGAGTCTCAGGGATCCATTTCAGCCCCAAAGCAGCAGAGAAGATACTGTTCACATGTTCCTAGAACTCTGAAGGGCCAAGCTAGAAGAGCCTTTGTCAATCACTTTATTCACTCTCTTTTCACCTTATAGATGTGGAAATTATAAGAGGGATTTATCCCAGGGGCACTTAATAGACTGGAAACCTGGCAGGGGGCAGGGCCTTATGGGGACCACTGGTGCTGTCCCCATTCTTTATATTTGAATCAAGTTTTCTAAGGAAGGAAACTCTGAGATCCTTTTCCTCCCTCCTTGCTTACTCTGGGTTAGGAAGAGCAATTAACAAATTTATGGGTTGTCAAATTGTGAATCACCCTCCTGTTGACAGTTCCATTCCCAAAGTCCATTGTTTAAATGTTTGCCCAATCCTAGGACTTAAACATCATTGTGACTGGGGGATGTAGGAACCTGAGAGAGAGCAGGGATATAGGAGGGAAAGACCCCCGTAGGTCCTTTCATTTTCACCAAGACCTGCTTTATTTTTTGAGATGGAGTCTTATTCTGTGCCCTGGGTAGAATGCCATGAAGTCTCTTGGGCTTAAGAGTTCCTCTGGCCTCAGCCTCCTGAGTTACTCAGCTAGTTTTTCTGGGGTTTTTTTGTTCTTTTTGTTTTTAATAAATACAGAGTCTCACTTTTACTCAGCCTGGTCTCCAACTCCTGAGCTCAAGCAATACACCTGCCTTGGGTTTCCAGAGTGCTAGGATTACAATCTATTGTACCTGGCCCAAGAGCAGCCTTTAATTGTTCTAATGAATAATGGGAACATCAACTGGGGTATATCCTGAAGGGTCCATTTGGTTTTCAGATATTATATATGAGCTTTCTTCTCTCCGTCCTACAAGTTTTCCATCTTAATTATGACTCTGACTGATTTTAATTTATTTATTTTTTATTTTAATCACCTTTTTCATTACAGATCCAACTGGTTTTAAAAGGAAACTTAGGTGGGGCACAGTGGCTCACACCTGTAACCATAGCACTCTGGGAGGCCAAGATGGGTGGATTGCCAGAGCTCAGGAATTTCAGATCAGCTTGAGCCAGAGAGAGACCTAAAAAAAAAAAAAAGCCAGGGGCAGCACCTGTGGCTCAAAGGAGTAGGGTGCCGGCCCCATATGGCAGAGGTGGTGGGTTCAAACCCAGCCCTGGCCAAAAACTGCAAAAAAAAAAAAAAAAAAAGCCAGGTATTGTGGTGGGCACCTGTAGTCCCAGCTACTTGGGAGGCTGAGGCAAGAGAATTGCTTGAGCCCACAAGTTGGAGGTTGCTATGAGCTGTGATTCCACAGCACTCTACCGAGGGTGACAAAGTGAGATTATGTCTCAAAAAAACCCAAACAAACAAAGAAACAAACAAAAAATCACTTCAAACTAAAAAACAATTAAATATAAAATTCAGGGGAAAAAAGGGAACTTAGAGTCTATGGTAGTGGAATCTTACTGATATAGTCACCTTCTCTATCTGGACCCCAGCTTTCTATACTGTAATGAGACTGAAGTCAGACTCTTCCATTTACACCTATTTGAAGTGGTGGGAAGGGAGAGGAGGTCCTGAGGAGACTCTTGGTCCCTACACTGGCCCCTCCTCAGTTTGGGGACCCCCGATGAGCATTCTGGGAACTGCTGTGTAGCTGTACTACCAGCCCATGTGACTGAGTGGCTTCTATCCATGCCTGGAGCTGTCCTAGGCATTTCCACACAATCTCTCAATTTTCAGAACATAATCTTACGACAAAAGATGATCTTTTACTTTGCAGGAATGGAAACTGAGGCTTGGAGAAGCTCAGTAATTTGTGCAAGTCCCCACAGTTGGAAAGAGGGACTTTATACCCAGGTCTGGCTGAATCCCAGGGCCATGCCCTATCCAAGGTCTTGCCTCTGAGGCTGACTTAGTGAGTTCAGTCATACACAGATGATCCTCTTCTAGAGAGGATCACCCATCCCCTCCTTCTATGGTTCTTGTCCTCCACACCATGTCAGGTCCTCACGACTAAGGTAATGGACCTTGTCATTACCGATAACTGTACCCCTACCCCACATAATTTCAATACCAAGTATCCTGTCCTCCCCACATGACCCCAGTCTTATAGACCCAACTCCAATAGTTCTTTCACCCACTAAGACCTTCAATTCATTGATTTTTCTGTTTTATTTTGTAATGGTTCCTTGTGTCCCTCAAGTCCTGACTTTCCTCCTTAACTAGCTTAGATTCCATGGACCATTGCTATAATTACTTCCTTGCTCACTAACCCCCTTATGCACTCTCATTAAATTGTATGCACCTGTAGAAACCACGCTCTGGTTAATCCCACATGGCTGACTGAGGCTGGAGACAGACCCAACCCTGCTGACTGGTCTCACCTGAACGTCATGGCCACCACCCTCTAGGGCCCCTTGGTATTTGCTGTCTCCCAGTGCTACCATGTGACTCGGGCTTTTCACCTTCCCATGGTCTGCATGACTCCTTCGGCCTCCTTCACAATGGCTCTTTCCCATCGTCTCAGCTGAAGACTCTGCTTCCTACTTCACCAAGCAAACAGAAACCATCAGGAGGGCCTTTCCTTGGATCTCGAGACCCCCTCGACCCATTCACCTGGGCCTGGGCTCCATTTTCAGTCTCCCTTCCTGTTACTGGATATGAACCTGTTTGTTCCTCTTTGGGGCTGCCCCTCCATTTACACAGGAGACCTCGTCCTCACCTGTTCAAGGGCCTCACTCCAGCAAATTTCCCTCTCTCACTGACTAGATCATCCCAATGAGCATTAAAACAATTTCTTGGGCTGGGCGTAATGACTCACGCCTGTAGTCCTAGGATTCTGGGAGGTCAAGGTGGGTGGATTGCATGAGCTCAGGAGTTCAAGCATGAGACCCCATCTCTACTAAAAATAGAAAAACTAGCTGAGTGTTTCAGCAGGTGCATGTA